TGGCCAGAGCCCTGGGGCACACGAGCGCGTGTGCCCAGCAGCGTGGGCAGCCCCGCTCCGGTCCCCGCACTCACAAAGATGTGGAGGAACTTGAGGATGCGCTTGTGCGTGAGGATGTGCAGGACGTTCCCCGAGACGGGCTCGATCACGGGCAGCCGGTGGATTTTGTGCTTGATGAGGGAGTAGACGGCGTCGAAGAGGCTGCAGGTGACGGGGCCGCCATGGGGAGGGGGCTGCAGCTGTGCCCAGAACCTCCCCCCAGCGTCCCAGGTCCTCTCCATCCCAGCAGCATCACTCCTGTGTTCCTCTCCCACGTGGAGCCAGCTCCAGGAAGGGGCAGCCCCAGCACAGCCCGAGGGGCTGCAGGTCACTGCGGTGCCAGGGTTGTGGCAAGTAGGCTCCGCTCCGGGCCCGAGCCTGTGCCGGGGGGGTGGCTCACACTCACCTGTCACTCGGGGAGATGTAGACCAGCGGCTTGAAGGAGCCTTGCAGATACACCTCTGGGAAGGGAGAGCGGTGGGAGCGGAGCGCCCTCAGGGCTGCATCGCATCCCCAACCACTCCCACGGCCACCGGCAGCCCTGCGTGCAGCCACATGCCTCCATGTCCCATCAGCGCACTCCCCCGCCACCATGCCAGGCATCCTGTCTCCAGTGACAGCGCCTTCGTTCGTACCTCTCCACGTCTCAATCTTGTGCTCCTCCACCTCGTAGATCTGAACCTGAGGGCAGCGAGAGGCTCCATCACGGAACGGCCCTGCCTGCAGCCACGGGGCTGCTGCCCCCTCCCTGGCCATCCCACCCTGCTCCCTGAGCACAGGGATCACATCCCGGGGTGCCAGGCCCAGGGGGCCCCGAAGGTGCCTGCACGCAGGCAGGGTCTGAGGCAGAGGCACCGCTGGGCCCTCCCCTGGCTGTAGGGGAGCTTCCATGTAGCTTCCATGGGTGTAGCAGCCCATGCTGGGCCCCAGGCCGGCTCAGAGCACCCCCAGCACTAAAATTACCCACCAGGGGAACCAGGAGATGCAGGTCCACAGGAACCTGCGCCAGGGACAGACCTTTCCTTGCCCACAGGCTGGTTCTGCCCCTTGCCCGAGCTCTTCCCAGGACTCACCAGGGGCGAGCGGTAGTAGCGGTGCAGGATGTTGATGAAGTCGGTGATCGTGAGCATCCCTGTGGAGACGCGTGGGGCTGGCACCGCCGCTGCGGCAGCCCTGGCAGCCCTGCCCTGCGCTGCCCCCCGGGCACTCACCCACGAAGGTCTGTAACTTGCTGTCCCACAGCGGGGCCGCCCGCACCCCGTTGGCCACGAGTGCCACAAAGGCCTTCTTGATCTGCCGGCAGAGCGGAGAGGGGGGTCGCACGTCCCAGAGCCTGCCCTGCCGCGGCCCTGCGGCCCCACGGTGCCCGCAGCGTCACCTCCAGCGTGGTGTCGAAGACGACAAGCTTGCAGCTGGTGGGGAGGGCGTCGTAGCAGCAGTGGCTCCTCATGAAGTGCATGTAGACCTCGGCGTCGGGGGTCTGGAACTCGCTGTCCGGGCCCGGCCCTAGCCCTAGCATCTCGGTGCCCAGCGTGAAGGTGACAGGCCTGGTGCCCCTCCACCTCTCCTCGTCCTCCTCGTCCTCATCCTCCTTGGCACATGGCGCTGCCAGAAACCCTGCAGCTGGACCCGCCCCGGCCCGGGCGGTGAGCTGAGCTGCCAGGTCTCAGCCGAGCGCTCCGAGGGGCTGCTCCGAGAGGAGATGCTGTGCTCAGCGCCCTGCTCGGGCTGGCAGCGCGCTCGTGTGCCCAGTCCACAGGGATGGGGATGGCAGATAACACAGCATCTCTCCAGCCATGGGGCTGAGAGGACCCTGGGAGCAGCTTGTGGGGAGCTCAGGAGCGGGGTAAGAGGGGCTCGTGGTGCGAGGATGGACACACACACGGCATGCACGAGCACCGCTACCCACCTGCCTGCTCCGGGCGCACAGCAGTGCTCAGCAGCGACATCTGAGGGAGCACACGGGCAGGGGTCAGCAGGACGCAGCCCCCCTTCCACCCCCACGCCACGGGATGCTGCCTGCACCCGTCCCGCTGCTCAGCTCCCCTTTCCACAGGACCAAGCCAGACTGAGCCGAGCTGGCGTGTGGCACCCGCAGAGCCGGGTCCTGGACACCTGGGTGCCCTCTTTGCCACCGCAGCGCAGCAGGTCCCACAGCGGCTCTGCACCCTTCCTCTCCCTCCCCTGCCCTGAGGTGTAAATCCTGGCCCTGATTCCTCCTGGCCCACCCGAGCGGGGCAGGCGATGCCAGGCGCCCGGCCAGCCCCACCTGGGGGAGCAGCCGCAGCGCGGGCAGGGGGACAGCG